ATGACTGTAAACACGCAAGTGTTGTAGCTAAATCTATCCCAATCAAAGTTTTGATGAAGCAACTGCATCAGTCACATAGGCTTCTCTGGTTGTTCTTAGGAAAGAACTGCAATTTAAAATTCTATTTAACAGATTTACAGCCTCCACTCAAAACTAAGTAACTCCTGTTATCTGGGGAAGAAGTTCCTCTTGCACAGTGAGTATAGCATATATCTTGAATACAAGCATTTCATCAATCTGTAAGCCCAGCAAAATGGTAAGATTTTCATCAACATTATCTGAATTAGTTTAGAGGTTCTGAGCAAGAAGTATTATTGGCAACACTTTTCAAAAAAAACCAAATCAAATGAAAAAAAACAATTGCCAAGCTTCTTCCCACCCAGCGAAGTTTGTTCTGCAGGCATTTTTACTTTGGAGAATCCAGATCTTCCTCACATTTTCTTCAATACAAGATGAACAGAAAATAGCAATACCCCTAGCTACAGTTCTCACTACTGCCCTGCTACCTTAAGTACTCTGACACAAACACCAAAAGTCACAGCAATACACTATTTCTGTAAAATGCAATGAACAGCCAGGCTCTGACATTCATCTCAGAAACCTGCACTCAGTGGAAGTCATCTTCTTATGCTAACAGGATCTATGAAATAAAGAGCTTTGAAAAACTTATGTTTCGTCTTCCAGAGGTATTTCACAGCTTAAACTTTACTGCGTGAACAATATAAACAAGTGTAAATCACAGTCTACTTCTACACTGGAAATGTATTAGTAAAAGTAAGTGTTAACACTGCACAGTGTACAATTTTTGGTTTTGCTCAACTTGCAAAATGTATCATATAAACATACAGAAATGTTAAAAAAATAAAAGAAACAAAAAACCTTCTTCCAGGGTTATTTTCACTTGCAAAGATGTCAAGCAGCAGAAAATTACTCTTATCTCTGAAAAAGCTTTTGTACTTGTTAAAGAATAATTTCCTTCCACAATTGCATTTGGTGAAGAGAAATTTTGCTGCATCCAAAGGCAGTCATGTCTTTTACTCTTCAATTTAATCCACTGAGAGCCTTAAACAACTTGCATAGTCTGCAATCATTGTCCTCTTAAACTAACATTTCAACAAATTCTACAGGTTTTGATGCTCCTTCTAGCATAAAAGTGAGATCCCATACATAGTGTTTGAAGCAAGGACAGAATAGAAGTCACACGGTGTTACTGCAGTGCTAAAAGCCTTCACATCTGTCACAACTCATAGCTATCAGAAAGAAAAGGGTTGAGTACACACTGAAGAGTCTCTTAAATGAATGAAGCAACAAATACATCACAGAACACTGTTAATGTTGTTAATTATATATAGTAACAAAGATGCTCACAGTGGTCAGATTTATTCTATACCATGAGACAGGTCACGAACTCCTCAACAGCATAACCACATTACACCTCCCGGATGACCTCATTCTTGCTATGTTGATAAGAGAGACCTCAGAATCCTATCCATAATACTTCAACCAGCAGGAAACCTCCCTAAGGAAAAGCCTATGTCCCTGAACACATGAGTAACTTACACCAGCTCTCAGGAACAGATCAAGCAGTGGGAAGACGGCTAGCTAGAAACACACATCAGTCTCTGAATTTTCAGAGGTTATTGGGAAAAGTGAGTTACATATCCAAGATGTTACAGTCAAGAAAGAGTATTAGAGCATGAAACTGGAGAGCAAAATAACTGTATTTTAAAGGAAGTGAGCTCCTGTAGAACATGCTTTTCTGATTAATTCTCTTCATCAAGTAGCCTTAAAAGATTTACTGTGGTTTACAGAAGTTAAGATTAGTAACTTACCTCTTGAATGTTTACTGTTACTGCTGCTAACAGCTAAGTTTTAAGAAAGTTATATTTGAATAGAATAAAAATTATAGCAGAAAATGCTATTAAATATTTAATGTCAACCATCACGTTGAGTTTTTCATCAACTCCCTGGAACTGCAACCATTCACAGATACTTAGGACTCTAAGAAACAGGCCAGGGCAAAGAGGTATGTTCTGTGGCATGCTACCCCTGACATGGGAACCCACCACCTTAGCAGGAGTTTAATGCCACTAGAGAAAAAATTATCAGAGGTATTCAACACTTCTGGAACTTTCCAAAAGTTGGTAATTCCCTGGAATGGCCAGCAACTACTCTACTAAAGCACAATAGGTATATTCATTACCAACCAAAATACAACCCATAATTATTATTTTTTAAACTCCACCTACATAATTATACTGAGAATTCTTTATTGCCACTGCCTACCTCTACTTTAATCTTATTTCATGACTAGCCAACTGAGAATAAAATCTGCATAGGAAAAGTTCTCAATTCCCATCCATAAGTTAATGGTCTTTAAGCAACTCTTTGCTCTCCATAACATCACCCTTGCTCAGCAGCTTCTACTTTATTGATATCGAAGGGCAGCAGACCACACCTTAACAGCTACATAAAAAAAAAAATAAAGCATGAAGATTATACTGTCAGTTGGCTTGTATCAACTATATACACATCTGCAAAGGTTCAGAGAGTTTGGGAGTAGTTTTGATTCATTTTTATAAGAAAATCAGATCAAAAAAGGTGGAATCTACAGGCTTTGTTGGGTTCTGGCACATCCTTTGGCACATGGTATTATGAGGGATCAGCTTTTCAGACAGTCATTCTTCAACCACCAGTGTAAATATGCTACCACTGGTTTCAATCAGTGCATTTTAAAGTCATATATGCAAGGAAAGTAACTGTTGCAGAGGGCAGAGAATAAACAAATCTGAAATACTTTTCCCACATGACATTCATAATGCTATATAACACTTTCAGTCTGAATTTTTTTTTTTAATTTTAAAGAAGAATTTTCCTGTGCTGAGTATTAATTTTTCCACTCAAAGTATGTTTGCTTTGACAACACACACTAAATGTTTATTTTGTTACTGAAGCGAGAAAAACAAAGATCTCCATAGCTACCAACAAGCTGCTAAGATAGGATATAATGGCAGCTCACTCTGTATCACCCAAACTTCATTCATTGGGTTTGTTTCTGTAACAAATTAAGAGGTATTTGGGTGAATTTGTGTTCTTTAGAGATACAAGCTTTCCTCATTATTGTAAAACCCAAATACACTAGTATTGCATTTTTCTGGGATGAAGGATGTTTAATCTTTCAGTTCCGAGTCCCGCAAATGCGCACCCACATATGGTTCTCTCCTCTCTATTTAATGCACCTTATTGAAAATTAATATTTAATGCACATTATTGAAAATAACAACAAAAGTTGTCATTCTTCACAGCTGGGAACTAACGGGATCTGAGAGTAGAGAATGAACAATGCATGCTACTGGAAAGGAGTGAGCATATGGAGAAGTAAGGATAAAGAGGAATAGACCCAGGCTACAAATAACACCAGGTTCATTAACAGAGCAGCAACAGAAACATGAAGTTCAAAGGAATATTTTTGGTCATTTGCTTTCAGTTAAGCCTTCTTTCTTAACCAACTCCATTCTACTGGCTGGGACACACACCGTACCACATCAATTCTGGCACAGCATTAGTAAAATAGAAAGATGGTCACAACTGAACTGGAAACGATCTTATCATCAGTTCTGTTGGCCAACACACACTAACTGCTGGAAGTGTTCTGTGAATAGCTTGCCCTTTTTTTTTTCTCTTTTAGCAATGGCGAAAAAAGGCAAAAAGCCATTCTGGTCACCAAGTGCAACACCAGCAGCGAGGAAGTGAAGCTCTCTGAGGGGTGGAGGAAGTTTCTGTTGTGCCACCAACTGCAGGCAAACAGTTTCTGTTCCGGGTTACAGCCCTGGGACACTGTTAGTAACTCCGACACTGCAAGCAGGTAGCTTATATCCAGCTTCTCTCTCTCCTTGCCCTTCCTGAGAACTATGTTTTTCTCACCAAAATGGCTTTCAACAAACAGTCCATCTGCAGAGTGTACCACACTAAACAAATGACTGCACAAAGAGCCATTTTATCTTGTAGATAAAATCTACAAGAAACATACCACGATGTTTCTTTATACTGGGCAATGACAGCTGTATGTGTACAGGTTTTTCAGTTACTCTCATCACAACTATACACCTCTGGAAATCAGAAGCAGCACTTGCTACCGTGTCATCTTCTTCAACGTCATTGGAATGGTACTGAGAAATAAAACACATTCTTCACAAGACTTCTATTATAAGCTAATCAATTAATCTTTCAAGAAACCATATAGTGAAATAGATAGTTTTAAGTATGCACCTGACACCTTTTTCACAGAATCACAGAATTGTTAGGGTTGGAAGGGATCTCTGGACATCTAGTCCAAACCCCCCACTAAGGCAGGGTCACCTAGAGCAGGTTACACTGGAACACGTCCAAGTGAGTTCTGAATGTTTCCAGAAAGGAGACTCCATGACCTCCCAGGGCAGCCTGTTCCAGTGCTCTGCCACCCTCAATGTAAAGAAGTTCTTCCTCACATTGAAGTAGAACTTCTTGTGGTTTAGTTTATGGCCATTGCTCCTCCTCCTGTCACTGGACACCACTAAATAAAAGGTCCCAATTACACAAAATTTAGTTAGAGGAAAAAAGAAACAACCTAAAAATTCACATATTTAAAAAAAACCAAACAAAAGCCAAAACCAAACAAACAACAAATCAAACAAAAACTAAAAACACAAACAAACCAAAACCAAAAAACGAACTCAAAAGAGTATTACAACATTGTCTTGAAAAGTGATATAGAAGCCCCTATCTAAATAGACCAGCAGTTCTCCTAAATATAAGTGTAGTGATAATCACGAGTTACAGCTAATTAAAAAAAAAATCCACTGCACCCTACAAATCCATTCTAGAGAACTCACCATTGTAACAGTCAAACTCGGCATACTTCCTGCTCTAAAACACAAAATTACTTATAGATTGAAAGTATGAAACTTTAAGACATGCAATATTCATTGATTGTTAAGTACCTTTGTAACGAAACAACTTACTTGATTGAGTTTCTGAAGTGGTCCTCGGCAGGATTTTTTACTGTACAACTGTTCAACAACCACAGATCTGCTTCAGCGGAGTTGTCTAGAAAACAGAAAGAAACAAACCTCTGTTAAGAATTATCCAACCCGCCAACTCCTAATTTATATCACATTAAAAAAAAAAAATCAAACTAAGCCATTTAATAAGTTGACTACTTGCAAGATTATATTCAATCACATTCTTGGAAGAGATTTTTTTGCTTGTTCATTGTTTTGTGTTTTAGGGTGAAAAAAAGGCCTTTCCATTTCCATCATTTTTTTTTTTTTTTTTGCAAATGGTGAATGAATCATTATCTCATTTACCAGCTGACATACCACTAGGCTGCCCATCATGGAAAACAAAGTCAAGAAAAATGGTCACTACTCCCAGAAATGCATACTCCCCAGAAAGATCTCGCTTACACAAAGGTAAAATTTAGTAGTCGACAAAAGAAACAAATGAGAATTCAGAAAACATGAACCTCTACTAATGAGAAAAGTCAACAGAGCCAGTTTTGAAAGAAACATGCATTTTTCTAGTTTTGATTACATCTTAGTTATGGTATAACTATAGTCCAGCAATTTTCAGACAAAATATATTCATGCAACCAATATCTGCCTCCACTCAGACAAGGATATTATTTTCTTCAGGATCCAAACCTTTCTCTATGTTCACAGCCTATTGATATCTAAACGCATTCACAGAAATGAATCTCAGAATTATCATCAGAAACACATATATGAACTCTAATCCTGTAAAACATGACTTATAATACAGAATTACTAGAAGTTATTTTTCTTGTGTAATTAGAGCTTCTTTTTTCAAACAAAAGAATAAAGATAATCTATCTCAAATAGTTTAGTGCTCTAGCATTCATCAGAATAGCTTGTATCAGTCTGGATAAGTAAACACATGTCATTCTTATTACTATTCAGTACATTGAGCATTGAAGTATTGACTGAGGTATCTTTAAATAACATAAGCCAGTGAGCAATGAATAGAGGTAAACCATCATTTTTAGGATGCCTTATTTAACTTTATTACTGCTAAAGCTGGAGAAAGCTTGCAAAGATTTAAGCATGTTTACATATGTAGTCATCGTGACTATATCCATACAGGCACAAATATCCTTTTCTTCCATAACATAACTAGATGCTGAAAGTGAAAAAGCTTTCTCCCTCATTGACATTTTCTTCAAAGAAATGATCATTTTCGATTAACTATTGGTCAAAACCTATGAAGCAGGTAAATTGAAAATAATACTTAAAATGCAACTGATACTTATGTTAAATAAGAGAAGACATTCACAAGGTTTCTAATCACTGACAACTGAGATTGCACCATGAACTTGGCTCAAACACTGGTTTCTTCTATGACAAGGAAAGGCCACAAAGGAGTCATCAAAACAACACTCAGACCTTTGGCTACTTTAAACAAAACAAATATACCAAATCTGACACTGTCAGGTTGGGAAAGAGGACCAAGTTCAATTTTAGTCTACACAAGTCAAAATAAAAATGGAACAAGATAAAGAACCTCTCCTCCAACGAAGGTTGCATGAAAACAACATTTTCAGACTAGTGAACAGACTAATTTAGTGTTAGACAGATAATTAGAGGTTAAAAAATCAACTAGGAATGATGTACAGAAAAGTAAAGAAACATACAGTTTTTAAGTCAGAAAAAGAATGAACTCCTGGCCTAGTCAGATGCACCAAGTATGAAAACAAACACATTTTAAAAAGTTTTCCAATAACACTGCCAAAACTTTGTATTTCTTATTCTTTTCAGCAGCATAAAATGTTTATTAATCCAGCCCCACACCCACCTGAGAATTAGGGATGGGACACACACAAACACTAAACAGCAAGAGGCCAACATTTAAGTGAGACATTGCATTTAAGAGACAAGAGTTTCAGTAGCACTCAGACACCACTATAGAACACAACAATTTTCAAGAGATGTCTTTATTCAGAGGAGAGATGCCTTAATGCAATGTACACCAGTTCTAGGCTTGGTTTCAGTTCCTCCTTGGTCTTCAGGTGTGCAGAAAGAGGCAGCCTCACGGTGACAAGACTTCTCCCTTAAAGCCAAACCTCTCTCTTCAAAACAGCATTGGAAAAATGAACACATTTAAGTTTGGAAAAACCCTTTATCCTAAGCCAACGGGAATCATTTCATACAGCAGTTTGGTTTCCAGGCTATTAATATATGGGCTCTTTGATTTGGAGGCACAACTGCAGTGCTTCCAGATACTTTACACGTAAAGTGTAAATACATGTAAATACATGTAAATTGATTCCTTCACAGGTTTCCCCCTCTGAAGAACAGAAGATGCAGAGCAAAGGCTTTTGCAGAATAGAATCTTCTGAGCAGTTTGGGGAAAAGGAGTCTCATTCATGTATACATCTAAAAATAATTTAAGAAAAATCAAGTGTAGCAGAGGTTTTTCCTCTCCTTATGGTAACATTGTTATTTTATCATATTTAGCTGTTCTATTTCTCTATTTATTTTCAGATCTTATTTTCCTAGTTAAGTCCACTCTCTCTCATACAAGTTTTGATTATGCATATATAAATCTATAGACACACACTTATCAGTTATATGAATTTATTAATAAGAGATCATACTACAACTCTTCAAAATGATAGCTGAATTATTTAAGTTCTTTACTGCCCTGTTCATACATAAAATAATTACATGCACCAGTGTAAATTCATCATGATCTACTGTATTTTCTCAAGAAAATTTCAGTATTTAAAAAAAAAAATTACCAAGAGAGCCTTTTTGTATCAGGTTGCAGGAAGATATGCACATTTACAACATTGCAGGAAAAACTTGTCAGTGGTCACATTTTGCTTTGCAAGGCCTTAATGGATGTGCAGAAACAAACACAGACCAAAGCAGCAGACAGGAGATGGCACGTACAAACAAGATCTATGGACTTCATAATTACTAAATATTAAGTAACACCCCGGGCAATGCTTCTTTATTCAGGGCAGGGGGACTGGAACAACCAGCTACATGTATATGTACCTATATATATGTATATTAATCAGTGCTCTTACATGAGTAGTTGCTAGTGTTCAGTGCTGTGCCTAAAGAAAGAGTAAAACAGCTCTGAGAAATAAGCTCAAGCTTCCAAATGCAAGCCTACACAGGCAGGGGCAGACAGACCTGAGGTTTCTGTGTTTATACTCCAAGCAGACAGATGAAGTATTTAGGTCTGGATGGAAAGCATCACATGTATGTAGCGCTGCATCTACTAAGGCAGCCCATGTATCCTCCCTTGGAAGTCTCCACCTGCCACCTTTTCCAACTCCAGCCTCCACCTCCCATCTTTTCCAATTCTAGCCTCCACCTCCCATCTTTTCCAACTCTAGCCTCCATCTTCTAAGGTTACAGTGAAGCCTGGATTCATTCACTCAGCAGGTTGATGCCCATCGTCCTCAGAAACCTCCATTAGACCATAATGTTTTGGAGAAAACTCAAAAATTTCAGTGAACACAGTCCTGTGTTTGGGAGTTCACACAGATATGACTGAAGAGGACAAGGCACTGAATATGATATAGGTACATATGTCCTGCAACAAGCTTCTCAAAGGGGATCTTCTTTCTTCAACTTATTTTTGCCATATATTCAGTCTAACAATACTTTTAAAGTATGATATTTTGCTGCTGACCCTTTCTGTATGAGATACAGTTTCCTGTATGCCAAGACATTTTAGAAAAATAAAAAAGCAATGTCAAATCAGCATTGTACTAAATGCTCAAAAACACAACCCAAAACCATGGCCTTTTTGCATTGTGACATCTTTTCCATAAAAGAAAGGCTACACTGGAAGTAAACCACAAAGTCTATCATACTCTCTGCAAAACAACATAGAGTACAAAGAAACCTAAAGGTCATGGAAACTTCTGAACACTTAACTTAATTGGGAAGCTCTGGAAAACATGAATTGGCTGCATTATGCAATACTAAGACGATAAATTGGCAAGAGTCTGAAACATCAGTATACCTACAGAGGAAAACAATATTTACAATTCTTTTCTAACTAGCAGTTTGGGGCTTGTTATCATTATAGAAATCATAAATCAGCAGAATTTCTTAAGGAGACTGTAGTAATACTATCAGTTGAAAATTAAACAACTGACTTGGTTTTGCCCTGGTGTTTTAGACTTTTTTTCTTTCAAGTCTTTTTCCAAAACTTTGTTTTCTTCCAGTCTCCCCCAAAACCACATCTCCTTGAATAATCAAAACACACACAGAGCAAAAATGTAGAAGAAAAACTGCTAGTGAAGACCTAAAAGAACAGCCCTTTACTTTCTTCAGCACATCACTCCCCTCTGCACTGAAACTGCTACCAGATCTCCTCAGCACTGTTTGCTCAAAAAACATGACTCATAATTTGTATGACATCCTTTTAAATACTGTGCATCAATCTGAGTGACTGCAGTTTGAAAGAAGATCTTTCTCTGTAATCACTGAAGGCTCTTCCAGGCCTTTTCCTCCAGCTGTCCTTATCCTATTCTTAATCTCTCTGCGAGTCTTCCTTCTTACCCTTTCTGACTTTCCTCTACTTCTAACTCTCTTACATAACAAATATACCTTCAGCTTCTCTGTTTCCATATGCTGTATTCTAGCCTCTGTTCCCATTTATGGACCTCTTCATTAACACTTAGTCCTGTGCATTCTTACTTCCGGAACAGCTCTGCTCCCTTCCCTTGACCCCCTGCTTGGCATTTTATCCTCTGGAGCCAGACCCAGTAACACCCAAGTTACATATCTGGAACATGTGCTCACAACTGGACTCCATGGGAATCATCTGTCCCCAAAAGACACAAATATCTAAGCATGAGGACATCTCATAGCCAGTTACAAAAGTCATCCAGCATCTTGACTGGAACAAAGTTACCAAACTAGTTCTTTTCTTTCAACATCCCTGTGTCACAGAAACCCACTCTTACTTAAATTAAGTTACTGAAATTAGATGCTGGTTAATTTAATGATTTCTTGGACCACTGGGTATTGAGAGACTTCCACAAGTATTGGGAAAGAATCTCC